TTCAGTAATACAGTATCCAATAAATTACATGAGATAGTCAACACCTTATGGTAAAATAGGATTTTGTTAGATGATTTTGCACAACTGTAGGCTAGTGTAAATGTTCTGAACATGTTTACATTAAGCTAGGCTAGGCTATGATGTGTGGTAGGTTAGGTGTACTAAATGCATTTTGACTTATGATATTTTCATCTTACAGTGGGTTTATTGGGATGTAACCCCATTGTAAGTCAAGGGGCATCTGTACAGTTACACCTGTTTTGAACAGTATAAAAAGACTGTGAGTAGTACTTGTTCCTGGGCAATATGTAAGATTGTTTAAGGCATGATAAGTGGCAGCAGGGATGGATGCCACAATGTTTATAGAAATTTCCACCATCTAACTTTGGGGCTGTTCTCCACAGAAACAGCCAGTCGTTGCAGAGCTCTACAGCTGGCCCAGGGCAGCAACCTGAACAGTTAGAGAGTAGGTACAGGCCTTCCTTCAATGACCTTATATAGAAAGGGGTAAAGGGTTTGGGTTTTTACATCACGTATCTGTATTGGAAGCCCAGTCTCACCACTTACCAAGTTGCATAAGCTTCTCTGTGCCTCAGTTTCCTAGTGTGTAAAGTGGGAATAATAATACCTACCATATAGGATTGTTGGGAGGATGAAATAAATTAGTACATATAATACACTTACAAAAGTATAAGTGCTCAGTAAACCCATTACCTAACTATGAATCCTCCATGAGAGCTGGCTGGGGCTGGGTTCCTGTTTCCTCTCAGGGAGAGCAGGTGCTCATATAAGCAATAAAAAATAGCATGTGATAAATTCCAAATTTTCATTATTATTATTAAAAGTGAATTAAGGCTAATTTCAGTATTTCCCACTACTATTTAAATAGTTAGTTTTCCACTCCTCAGATTTTAGAAGAGCCAAATTCATATTTATTGGGTGACTCTAAAGAACAAGGCAGTGCACTAAGCAGCAGTGACAGAGGACTCCCATTTCCAGCAAAGGAAACGTCTTGTAATTTCCCTTGTAGCTTTACGTCTCTGAATTTCAAAAGTGCCAGTAGAAAGGAAGACAATTTCCTGCTGTACCCGTCTTCCCCTGGGTCCCAGAATTCAATTAAAATCATGTTCCATCTTGCCTGATCCAAAGTGTTTTAGATGAAAGGAACCTGGAAAACAGTATATCTGTAAAAATATGACTATAATGTATCCAGCAAAGTACCACGCAAACAGAGAGGCTGAAAAAAGTCCATTTGAGGATGAAAGAAAATCAGATAGGTAGATAGTTAAATAGATAGCTACACAGAGCTTTTCAGCAAGATTTTTGGTTGTTTGTTTTGTTTTGGGGTTTTTTTTAATGCCTGCAGGGCTGCTCGTGAAATAAAATAATCTCGTAATCATGTAGTTTCATTTTTTTGTTTGTTTTGTTTTGGGTTTTTTTTTAATGCCTGCAGGGCTGCTCGTGAAATAAAATAATCTCGTAATCATGTAGTTTCAGATTTATTGCCTTCTGTTTTGTAGTCAGGAGTCTCTCTTACCACAATTCTGGCAAAGCCCATTTTGGCATATTGCTATTCAAACATATTCAAAAACCACGACAAGCTACACTTTAAAAAGGCATTAGTGTGAGCGCCATGGGAAAATATACTCCAAGGTTGTAGATGAATTGATATGATTTCCTTGATTGTATCTTTTTATTTATGAGGCATAATTTATGAGCACTGGAGAGCAAACTGCAATGAGTGATGAGTAACTGCAGCCAAAGTCATCAATCAGGCACAGCGAGAGAAGTGGCGATTTTGATCGAATCTATTGAATTAGCTGTTGGCCTTAGCCAGTACAGGTATTGGAAAGACCTTTTTAATATCTATTTGTGTCCCTCATGGGAATGTGATAACAATCTCATTACATGCTCCTAGGAAACAAAAAATGTAGTTGTTTGCCTGTTAACATGCAACCTGTTTACTCTACTAATTAATTACTGGCATGGCTGTTCATGTTAGATTTTTTGTTTATTTCTGACATAAATTGTCATGAAAATATATTCACATTCTCCAGTTTTTATAAACCGTGACATTGTCTTCTTAATGCTGCTGGATATGAATTTGTCCTCAGAATTGTTAAACTGCTTTTTTATTTATTTATTTTTTCCTTTTTTGTCTTTTTTACTGACCGGTAACGGAATCGCAACCCTCGGTGTCGCGCCCGCACCGTGCTCAGCCAGTGAGCGGGAACCGGTCTCCACATGGGATCCGAACCCTCGGCGGGAGCGCCACCACGCTCCCAAACGGTGTACCCAAGCGGCGCACTCTCCAGTGCGCCACCGGGCCGGCCCTAAACTGCTTTTTTAAATCAAAAATTGTCATTATACATGTTATAGAATATCACAGAGGTTGCAGAGGGTTCAAAAATTCCTCCATCTCTTAGTCCTCTGAGAGTTAACAATTATCATACAACTCTTATAATAAGCAGCCTGGAAAAAGAACAAAATCTCAAATTGCTCCAAGGGCAAGGATAGTCGTTATCACTTACATTAGGAGTCGACAGATTAAAATTTTCTGTAAAAGACCACTGGCTGCCAGTATAGAAAGCATCACTAAGTATGTTCCCTTGGTTTTAACAAAACTTGTAGTATTTCCTCAGCCAAAAGAATCATTAAATACTTTTACAATTGAGGGGTTTTTCTGATGATATGATACCTCAACCCCCCTTGAAATTTATATTAGCAATTTTTCTTTGCACTAAGACTTTACTTAGAAAATATTAGTCCTAGGGAATATTATTTCAGAAAGCTTTGAGTGAGACAAAGCATTAAAGTGAAAACTACTTTACAGTTAAGTGTGGAAATTGTGCACAGAATAACTAGCACATTAACACAAGCACCCAAAGAACCACTATTCAGAGAACTTCTAGTACATTCCGCCTTCTCCCATCTTCCTCATTTGTGAAAATTATTACAATGCTTCTGTTCACAAATTCTTGCTTCCCTCCTAAAATAAAATTGGAGGGAGAAATGTTGGATTGAGAGGAATTGGGAGCATTTAAAATAATGTTCATCTGAGCTGCAAAAAAAAAAAAAGATAGACCCAGCAATTTCCAGAAACATCGGGGTTTCAAGAAATTATACCTGAAGTGCAAACTGGGAGGCAAGCAATGATTCTTCGAAGTGAGTAAGCTTTGGTTCTGTTTGGAACTAGGATAAACAAAGTAATAAACTCTATTGCTGCAATCATAATGCACTCAGAGATACATTCATTGTGTTTATTTGAATGACTGAAGATAGTGACAATGCACAGTACAACTCTGAATGGTTGTAACATGGATAGAAATTGGAAGTGTATCATGCCTGGATTTCTGTACCTGGTTGTACAGACAATAGCCCTTTGTGTTTCTCGAACAATATGGGGCACAAAAATCACTTGGAAAAATGTTGAAAGGGCAGGTTCCAAGGTCCTCTCACCAGAAATTCTGACAGAGGTACCCAAAGTGGTTTTGATGATCATGGCCAAGGAACATATTTTGACAAAGACTCCTGTTCGAAGAAAATTTCCAAGAGACAGTTTTCAAGAAAGGACGGATGATTAAATCCATTGTTTTCACAGCGATGTGATTATGGCAGCTTGGTGGCAGATGCTGACACTTCATGTAATTACAATTTTTTAAGGCAAAATACAGTAATTAGTCCTTTGGGGAGGAAAGAGTAGATAAAAGAACAATTTCATTTTTTAATGGACGTTAAGCATAAAAATGGTAACAGCCACTAGTTAGATTAAAAAATGTGACATTGAAAACAGAAATGAAAACTGACAAATTAATCTATATTGCTAGTCAATTACAGAATTTGTAGTTAAGCAATTTTAGTTATTTTATGTTTATTAGAAATAGTTAATCTGTGTTTTCTGTGACATCTTACACTATAACTCTTTTCATGGTTGCAGCAGAGACCTTAGAGAGGAAAACACCCCAACTTGGTCAGTGCTAACTTGTTCTCTTTTTTAACAGCTCTTCATTGGGAAGTTTCTGACTCTTCCAGTCATAATTGTGGGTACAAGCACACATGAGTGCACATGTGCAGGTGTTCACCAGACCCAAATAAGTGTTTCAGTGGAAACTTTAACCATCTTTAATTTTTTTATCATAAAAGAATAAATATATTCAGTCTGGATTCTGTAGTTATAAAGATACTCTAACTAAATCAAAGATGAGGAGAGTCCTTACTTTTTTTTCCTCTTGCCCATGATTCATAAGCCTACTTTTTCTTCCCCGATAATGACCATTCCTTTCCATGAGCAGAGCGCACACTGGTTACGTACCCAGTGATCATGTGAGGGAATCTTGGGATACAAACCAGATGGATTGGCTTGTCAGTTAGGTAAAAGGTAGGTAGGTAGGATAGATGGTAGATACATAGATAAAGTAGATACATAGAGATAAAGTAGGCAACTCTATGTCTGTTCATGAGATATTTCATTTCTGATTTTTATATTGGTTCATTAAAACTAAAAGTCAGGCCAGCCTGGTGGCGCACTGCTACAGTGCGCCGCTTGAGAGTGCGGCGGCGCTCCCGCCGAGGGTTCGGATCCCACATACAGACCGGTTCCCGCTCACTGGCTGAGCGAGGTGCAGGTGCAACACCGAGGGTTGCGATCCCGTTGCCGGTCACGAAAAAAGACAAAAAGGGAAAAAATAAATAAAACTAAAAGTCAGGACATATTGCTTAAAATTTCTCATTCAGCATCTCTGCTGCTTCTTTCTCCACCCTGTAAAGATGGATCCAAATCTTGGAGCACTGTTTTCTCAGTACAAATGATAAGTATAATCTGTTAGTATGTTGTTCTGAACCCTGAAGGACCTTCGATTCCTTTATCTCTTGCTGAACTGACCATAGACAAAAATCCGCCGTGACTTATGGGAAAAGGAATTTTTTTTTTACAACAGAGAAAGAGAGACAGAGACAGAAAAAACATCATTTGTAGGTTCTGTTTTTCTTTTCTTCTCTAGATTTGGCGTGACAGAGACACAGCCTTGTGCAAGTTTTGTGAAATCCGCAATGCTTTGTCATCTCAGCTTTCACTTCACTGTAGCTGTTTTCGCTTTCAGACTAGCTCATGTAAATAGGCTGATCCTGCTTTGCATAAGCATGTTGATTTATATGAATGCTATTTTGATCTCAAATTGATTGAATACTAAAAAGAAAGTCTAGGAAAAAGAACAATGTAATTTGAAGGTCTCCTGACAAAGACAAAAGACACTAGGTCTTGTATACACCCACACTTAGCGATGGAGAATTTTGTATTGCTTAGTCTTTAGAAGAAAATATCTCTAAAGAAATATAGCAAAACACTATAATATCAAGGCCCAAGTGTTGTAAAATAACATCGATTAAATCACATTTTGGCATTAGAACCCCGCCTGGTAAAAGCTCTTGTAATGCAGGCAGGCATGAGGCTTAGTACTATCGCCAACACCAGCATTAAAAAAGCCTTCATAGTATTTATGATTCTACACCTACATCGACAATGAAAGAGAAGTTAAAGTTCATAATCCTGGGCCAGGTCTGTACTGAACACTTTCTAGAATTATACTTGTTTCATCTCTCTTTCTTTCAACACCCCATGCCCGTGCCACTGCTGTCTCCTATTTGTACTCAGTAATCAGTTGGCAAGTTGCTGGATTTTTCTTTTATTTTACCTAGTGGCACTTCTGTCCTCCTTTCCTTGTCCATCCATTGTGACCCTGATTAAAATTCTACATGCTCTTAAATCACCAACCAAAGCCCCACTCTTGGCAGGGAATGTGGTATCAACATTTGTACCTTATCCTGCGTTCCTTTCCCAAGAATATTGTTTCAAACCTTGTCACCCATTATGAAATAAAAGGCATCTCCCACCAGGCCCATGGAAGGATATTTGTCGTAAAATAGATTAATTTGGAGCAGACTGAGGAGCCAGAGACGCTTCTTTGAAATCTGACCTCTTTAGCAATAACCTCCTATACCTAGCTCCCTATTGTAAGACTGACCTTGGCCATTCTAGGGGAGACCATAAGAGCAATTGCAGTTGTATTCTGACCTGGTTTCCAGAAAGCCTGGCTCTCCTACTGCTAACACAGCCTCCTCCTCCTTACTTCTGCATCTGTCAAAATAACCCCCTCACCTGAGACAGTGTGCGCATGTCTATCCATCCTTGCCAGCTAAGAGACTTTACCTAGTCCAGAATTGCAGGTAATCGTCTATGGACAAGTCATTTAATTTTCGTGATCCTGAGTATCTTATTTATGCATGTGAACAACATGCAGAATCAAAAGCACAGTTTATTGGAAAGAGCACTGGAGAACAGAATTCTAGCTTTAGTTTGTGTAACTTCCATCACCTTGAACAAGGCAGTGAAATTTTCTGAGCCTCAGTCTCCTCACCTGTAAAAGGGAGCTGATAATACTTTCACCATTCACCTTACAAGGTTGACATTGTGAGTACTAAGTAAGTCGCCATATGTTAAAGTGTTTTGTAAAGTGTAGAGTTTATACAAATGTGAGTGATTATTATGCAAATGGTGAGAGGATGTATCTGAACTCTTAAAAGAGCAGGTTTGTCTATGTAAGTAGGATAGTGATCTTTTTTTAAAAAAATGGGGCTTCTGGCAATCCTATCAGCAAGGGGCTGCAGATTTGCATTTGACAGCAATTCAGCATGGAATTCAATTCAACATCAGAAAATTAACTTTCACAAAGGAATCCACCAAAAAAATATATGGAAGCACTGATAGGAGTTGACCTAACTACTAAAAATCTCTCTAACGTTTCTTCTCTTTAAGATATTATTGATGTAAAAGCAAACCAAACAAAAACATAACTAAACTCTCACTGCAAAGTATTCTCTTGATAGTTTTTTCCTAAATATCTCATATTTTGAACACTCTTCATGCTTTTTTAAATACTGCATACCTAGAACATGTGAACTATAGAATCAAACAAGTTATTCAGACTTGTCTTTAAAAGCTCAGAGCAAATTTTTAAAATATATATGTCGTTGAACACACCCAATAATTATAATAATAAAAATTTCCTGTAGTTAGAGTTGCACATGAAAGCTTACTAAGGAATACTCCTACTCCTAAACACACAGACAGTCTTCCTGTCACTTCGTTCACACAAACGTCATATAGTGGTTGTGCAGATCCCATATTACATTATAAATTATTTAGACCAATTTAGGGAACAATTTGGGCAAGTGTAGAAAAATCCTCTGAGGCCAGAGTGCCAGGTACTGAAACACGATCTTGAAAGATAACTCACATACAACGAAGGCTGTATTGAATGTTAGAGGAATATTAGCATATTTTCTACATCCAATAAATATAGATGATGTAAATACAATCAACCCTTGATTATCCATGCTTATAAAATGATAATAGTAATAAACTAATTTCTATTTGGAGTGCATCATATAAACTTTAAAAAAGTAACAGATAGCTCCTCTTAATTATATGTAACTTATATCAATGTGAAATTAATTTCCAGTTTCTGAACACTTCTGTTCCAAAGAGTGCTTAACAAAACCACAATGAGGTCAGAAGTTTGCTCCAAATAAACCAAAAAGTTCGGGCCGGCCCGGTGGCGCACTGTTACAGTGCGCTGCTTGGGAAGCACGGCGGTGCTCCCGCCGAGGGTTCGGATCCCACGTACGGACCGGCCACTCACTGGCTGAGCGAGGTTCGGGAGCAACACCAAGGGTTGCGATCCCGTTGCCGGTCCCGGCCCGGTACGGGCGTGACACTGAGGGTTGCGATCCGTTGCCGGTCACGAAAAAAGACAAAAAGGAAAATAAATAAATAAATAAATAAACCAAAAAGTTTATAATTCCACAATGATGCCTAAAAGACCATAGTATTTTGTAACAGCCGACACCCTCAGAGGAAGGGATGGACTTTCAAGTTCTTAAATATCTGTACTTGACTCTCACATAGATCTGAGGAGTTTTTGACCCATAAATTACATGCAAGTAACCATGGCAGAATATGGATCTTGGTGAATGTTGACTAGAAATATAATTCAAATGCTGATTTGGTTTTTTGAAAAGGCATCATTCCGAGGGTCATAGAATCTGATTAATGTTTTGTGTGTTCTGTGCCACTTCTTAGAAAGAAGTGTCTTACTTAGAAAGGTGTCAGATAACAGATGGTATGATACCTTGTTATTTCTATCCTGTTACCTCGAATTTCTATCTAACTGTTATTCTGTTATATTTTTCACCTACGTCATGCCTCTCCAACTGGATTGCTGATTCCTTGAGGGTAAACACTATGCTAAATGCCATGTTGCAGGGCCGGCCCAGTGGCTCACTGCTACAGTGCGCCGCTTGGGAGCGCGGTGGCACTCCCGCCGAGGGTTCGGATCCCACATACAGACCGGTTCCCGCTCACTGGCTGAGCAAGGTGCGGGCGCGACACCGAGGGTTGTGATCCCGTTGCCGGTCCCGGTCCGGTATGGGCGCGACACTGAGGGTTGCGATCCGTTGCCCGACACACAAAAAAAAAGACAAAAAGGAAAAAAATAAAAATAAAAAAAATAAATGCCATGTTGCATCTCCCAGAGTAGCTAGCAATGGTGCTCTCTCCATAGGATGTGGGATACTTGGTAAACACTTATCAGTTGCCTTGATTTGTGACACTGCTCATCTAGTCTTTCCTCCCACAGCTGTCAGAAGGCATGGCCACCCAGCAGACTCTCCATGGCCTGCACCCCTTCACGACGTACTCTATTGGGGTAGAGGCCTGCACCTGCTTCAACTGTTGCAGCAAAGGGCCGATGGCTGAGCTGAGAACTCATTCTGCTTCACCCTCAGGGCTGTCCTCTCCCCAAATCCAGACCGTGGCCTCGAGGACGGCCTCCTTCCAGTGGAGTCCCCCGCTGTTCCCTAACGGTGTCATTCAAAGGTAGTGAGTCAGCTGGAAGGATGGATAAACCAAAACAAGCAGACACGCGGGCTACCCAGCACTCCCTAAGGAGGACTTGCTTATTGAACAGATATCTATAGCAAAAGACATAAATTGATTTGACTGGTAATGTTACCTGAAAAGTGTTGATCATAAAATCAACTAATAATAGAAAGATAAACAATAACATCTTTAAATAAGGAAGACAATGCAGTGTGTTTGCATTATTGAAAGAATACTCTCCTCCTCGTGGTTGTCTGGGATCATTCATTCTATAGGCCTCAGCTGGAGCATAAGAAACTTCTGTGGCTAAATCAGAATTGCCCTGATCTAATTTAAGATGTTGTAATGAACCACTGTTTGACAGAATAAAGTTACTTCACTCGAAATGATTAGGAGGAAAAAAAGATTTTCTTTCTTCTAAATGGAGGAGGAAAATTTACCACTCTCCTCTTAAAAGAGAGAAATATCTTATCTCTGCCAACAAAGATTACTAGTTGCTGGGTGGACAGCAATGTGTGCATAGATGGTGACTTCTCTTTTCATTTCTCTGGTTACATTGCTCTCTTCCAACAACATGAAATTAAAGTGTTTCCGAGAGTAGTTTTCTGCAAATGGAAATTTTAAAAGAGCTTATAGTTCAATGAAAACAAAATGTCTCCTCACAAAATAGAATCAGTTTTAAAAGAGAGAAACTAATTCCATGCCTGTCTTCTCTTCACATTCTAGCTATGAGCTCCAAGTCTACACGGCTTGCCCACCCAAGTCAGCCCTGCCCTGTACTCCCAGCCAAACAGGGACAAAGTACAGGGGCCTGGGGCAGAGCGCCACCCTCGGGGGTCTCCAGCCTTATACCACCTACAAGCTGAGAGTGCTGGCTCACAATGAGGCGGGCAGTGCAGCTTCCGAATGGATCAGCTTCATCACCCAGAAGGAACGTGCGTACAAGGGGCTGCTGCCATAGCTGGGGAGGCAGAGGACAACCAGGACAGGCTTGTCATGGAAACGAGCAGAAGCACTGTTTTAAATGGAGTGAGCGGGTGTTCAGCTACATCGAAGGCTACTGAGACATGGATGAAGAAGACTATTGTATTTAGTAATATGAGAGAGCAAATTCAAGGAGGTTTTTCATGTAGTGTTGGGGTAAAAACCAGTTTAGAGTAAGTTAAAAGATGAA